TGCAATCTTACCTCCTGGGTTCAAGCGATTCTCCTTCCTCAGCCTCCCAAGTAGCTGGGATTACAGGCATGTGCCACCACACCCAGCTACTTTTGTATTTTTAGTAGAGACAGAGTTTCTCCATGTTGGTCAGGCTGGTCTTGAACTCCCGAACTCAGGTGATACCCCTGCCTCAGCCTCCCAAAGTTCTGGGATTACAGGCATGAGCCACCACACCTGGCCAAAAAATATAAGTTTTGTGGGTTTTTTTGAAATGGAGTCTCACTTTGTCACCCAGGCTGGAGTGCAATGGCATGATAATGCCTCACTGCAGCCTTGACCTCCTGGGCTCAAGAGATCTGCTCACCTCCGCCTCGCAAGTAGCTGAGACAACAGGCTCATGACACTACACCGAGCTAATTTTTTTGTATTTTTGGTAGAGATGTGGTTTCACCATGTTTCCCAGGCTGGTCTCAACCTTCTGAGCTCAAGCAGTTTGCCCTCTGTGGCCTCCCAAAGTGCTGGGATTATAGGCATGAGCCACCGCACCCAGGCAGATATGTTTTTTATACTTTGAGTTATAATACAATATTACTTTATTTTATTGTTTATATTGTTTGTTCTAGCTATGAAAAAGTCTGGCAACTTCTCAGAAGGTTAAACATAGTTACCCTATGACCCAGAAATTCCACTGGTAGGTGTATACCAAGAGAAATGAAAATATGTGTCCAAAGACTCATACACAAATGTTCATAGCAAAGTTATTCATATAACCCAAAATGGAAACAACCCTAATGCCTGTCAACCGATGAATGGGTAAGCAAAATGTGGTATTTCCATTCAATGGAATACTATTTGGCCATTAAAAGGAATGAAGTACTGACACATGCTATAACATGGATAAACCTTGAAAACATGGTGAGTGAAAGATGCCAGTCACAAGGGCCCACATACTGCTGACCCCATGTATCTTAAACGTTCAGAAAAGGCCACTCTATAAGAGACAGAAATGAGAGTAGTGGTTGCCCAGGGATTAGTGCTGTAGGGGGGCAGGTATTGGGAGGAAATGGAAGGATTGGCTGGGGGCAGTGGGAATGTGGAGCTAACGGGCGTGGACTTTCCTTTCGGAGGGATGAAAATATTCCATAATTGATTGTGGTCATGGTGGCAGAACTCAGTGAATACCGTGAATATACTACAAACGACTGCATTGTGCACTTTTGGTAAGCTATAGTATTTGAATTGTATCTTAATAAACCTGATGCACATAATATTTACTTTGGTAATCTAAGGAGACCCTAAAAAGACAGGTATTTGTGCTCCAGAATACCTGCAATTCACTTAGAGATCTGTGTGGCTGCCGTATGTATTAAGATGTTAAGGACAGAGAAACCTGGTTTCAAATATGAGCCCCCAAAAACCATCAGAGCAATCACCTCAGTTTGCTGGCATTGATTTGTATTACATGTAGGCAAGTCCATGTGGCTTTACAATCAGTAGCTGTGTGGATACGTTTCTTTATTGAAGAGCAATGATTTTCATAAGCAATGCTGGGCGTGAAGGCAACTAATGCAAATTAAAACTCAAGGGTTCCCTAACTCATTGAATGGCACGTCATTCTTCTAGTTGCCAAGCCAGACATCTAGGAGTTATCCTCAGCACCTCCCTCACTCCCACTTCTAATCTATCAATTTGACCTCCCAAGTGTCCTTCAAATTCATCTACTTCCTCCTGTCTTTCACCGTCAGTAACCTAGTTCAAGTTGTCTCCTTTTATCTCAGTTACTTTAGTGATCTCAGGAACCTTTTAATTGGTCTCGCATCTACTCTTGCTTCCTTCCTTCCCTTATTTGCCCAGCAACCAAGGTGATCTTTTACATTTTTGAGTATTCATGACCTTTTGAAATCCTCTTTAGTAGTTTCCCGTTGCTTTTAAAGACCAAACTCCTGAATGTGGTCTACAAGGCCCTGCTAACCTATCTGCCCTCATCTTCAGTCACTCTTTCCCTCACACTCTGCACTGTCAGCCACACTTTTCAAGACCACAAATTACCACCTTCTAGGCAAATATGATGGTCTCTTTTCTCTGGCCTTCATTATTGACCACTACCTCCTTATTGAAATTCTCTTCCTTTGTCCTTTATTTTCTTGCCACTCCTCTGCGTTCTTTTCCCTCTTACCACCCAACTATGAACATTTCCAATATTCTCTACTCTTTGCTATTCTGTATTCCATACTCTGTCCTTTAAGTGAATTGATACACTTTATTACCTGAGTTCCAGTCTATATCTGCAACAGCCTGCTTACCTCCAGAGTTACCTCAAGCCAACATGTTTAAAATAGAACTTATTGTTACCTTTATTCCTTATCCCCAGAAATTTTTCTTTCAATGATACCAGCATTCTTTCACCCATTCAAACTGCATACCTTAGAGCCATTTTCACTTGACCTTTCATTCCCCTTATCAAATCAGTTACCAAGTTATATTGATTCTTTCTTCAAATGATTCTTACATCTTTTCATCTCCATTGTTACTATTTTCATTCTGACCCTCATCACTTCATTCTTAGACTCACACAACTCCCTTTAAACAAGTCTCCCTGTCTGTGTTTTCCCACACTCAGGTCTGTTCTAAACACCACTGGCATTTCTATCTCATTAAAACTACACTTTTATCGTATCACTCTCTTTCTCCAAAAGTTTCATTGCCTTCCCATTGCCAGGAGGATAAATTTCAAAGTCTGAAGCCTGTAATGCAAAAACCCTTAACACTCCAGCTCACAAGATGTTAGCAAACATTCCACATACCCTGGATTAGACAAAGTTCCATGGTTTCTTTACTGTAAAACTTCCTTAAACTTTCGGTGAGCTAATGTGCATTATAATGCTCCAAAATGGTGATATATAGAATGCAGCATTTCCAAAATGTATTTGACTAAAGAACTCTATTTTCATAGACCATCTGTTAACATTTCTCATGACACTAGTGTTCTGAGGAAGAATATTGAGGAAAGGCTCAGGAAGCCCCATCCTACATTTCCAGTCTTATTTCCCATTAACTCCTCTACATAAATTGTCTGCTTAGGCCAAACAACTCTTGGTCTTCCTAAGACGTGCTTGTTCTCAAGTACAATCCAAGTCTTCATTTATTCTGTTCTACCCATATGGAATGCCCTTCTCTTTCTCTGAATATCTATATTTTTCTTTTTATTGAGATTTAGTTCATATATCATAAAACTCACCACTTTAAGGTATACAGCTCAGTGGGTTTTAGTATATTCACAAGATTGTGCAACCATCACCATTATTTAATTCTAGAACATTTTCATCATCTCCAAAAGAAACTCTATACCCATTAGCAGTCCCTCCCCATACCTCCCTTCCCCAGCCCCTGGCAACCACAAATCTCCTTTCTGTCTCTATGGCTTTGCCTATTCTGGACATTTCATATAATCTAGATCCTACTCATCTACCCTAAGATCATGTATGTTTGTTCAGTCATTTTTTTCATTCATAACATTAAGATCACAACACTCATACCCTGTATCAGACACTGGCCAAGCTGTGAACATACAAAGGCAAATGCCATTTTACCTTCAGGGGGCTCCCTGCCTAGTGGGGGAGACAGGCAGCAGAGTGTTCAAAGTACTATTATGGTGCTGTGAACAAAGTGCCAGAGGGGCCAAGAGGTTTGAGCAAGAAATTATAGAGAGCCAGGGAAATCCTCACTGAGGAGGTGGCATCTGACTGGATATTGATTTATTTGTTCGTTCATTCATTCATTCAGCAAACATCTGTTGTGCCTCTCTTATGTTCCAGTCACAGTGCTGGACTCTGAAGAGACAAAAATGCACAAGAAAAGTTCCCTGTTCCTCAAGGAACTCAGTAGTCTGGAGGAGATAAATATATAGCATTTCAAAACAGTATGATATGTTATATAGAGGAAGGGGAAGCTCACTGTGGGAACAGACAACTAACTCTGCTTGTGAATTTGAAGAAAAAGTAGAAGTCTGTGAAGTGGACAAGGATGAGGGGTAGTGTTTCAGGCAGAGACTAGACTGCCTCTGACTGTGATATCCTAGTGCTCATTTCTTTTCCTGAACAAGACCACCTAATGTTTGTGTCTCTTAATCACAAAACTTGTCAAGTCATCTTTACATGTGGATGCCTCATGTCCCCAAAAGCATTGCACAACCTTTAGAATAAAAGCTTTGTCTTTTCCCTCTTAGTGCCCTCATTATCACAGTGTTTTATGTATGATCATTTCTTCTTGGATCCAAATGAATGAAAGGATGACAGCTGAGACGGCATCCTCGACACTTGCTAAAAGCTGCTGCCCAATGTGTCTCCTATCACATTTCTCCCTTCTGGGGCTTTAACATGAATGCTTTGTGTTCCATCTCTTATACAAGATCCGAGAAAGTAGCTTCTTAGACTGATACTTTTCACTATTGCAAACTATTGTGAAGAAGCAAATATAATCTCGTGATTAGTCATGTTAAAGATCACTGATAAGGCTAAGGGGCCATCTTAGAAATATGTGCTGTCTTCATAGTTAGGGAGATATTGTTAACTCTGAAGATGAATATAATTTCTTCTCCAAATACGGACTAATTCTGGTGACAGAAATTAAGAAATTCAGTAAAACTGCTTCTTGACAACCTTCTCCACAAAGTAGAGGTAGATATTAAGGAAGTAATTGACTGAAGACAGAATCAAGGGAAGCCCCAAACAGGACACAGGTTTTTCTCCTGCTTCAGGGAGACTAGGAATCTATCTAATTCTTTCCTTCAGTCAGAGGGGACCTAGGTTTTTGTCTCTTCATGAGATCTTGCTATGGAACATTCTACAGATGACAGATCTTCAAGGTGCTCTCCTCCTATGCTTTCTAGGAGGACAGACCTTCCTAAATGTCAGAAGAGCTCACATTGTTTAGTAATAATGGGACATAGTGTGGATACAGGCAGTGCTACAATGAACTGTGACAGTAATAACTGCAAAATTTCTGTCCTTGGATTTCAGAAAGACTACCCAGAAATGGAGATTCTCTGGCTGATGATCAAGTCCTGGAATACTGGAGTACTTATGTTTAGCAAGAGCAAGTATGTATCTGCTGAAAAGTGGTGTGGTCTGGCCTTGCGTTTTCTTGACCACCTTACCTCCTTCAAGGGAAGCTATGAAACTCAGGTGAGGAGGGAGAGGGCTAGGGTGGATGACATGACCTGGGGGCAAAAGGTTACCGCTGGGCTCTCCACGAGGACTCAACCCCATCCACCTTGGCTAGGAGCAAAAACCAAGAAGGACAGAGTACAGGGGGAAACATAAGGATAGCAAATAGAATCTAATGAAGAGGAATGCCAAGAGTGAGCTCTGGAAAGATGCATCACTGTCAGTGCCAGTGCATGTCGCGGGGAAGGACTGGCCTCTGCTCAAAGCAATGACTGTTGAAAAAGGCGTTTTTTCCAGGAACTATATTCTCAGTTGCAGACTTCTGGGCCATTGGCTAACCAGGAGAGGTTTGATGGAGAAAAAGCCTTGCTACAAAATAAGAGCAAAGGATCTTTTATATTTAAGTATCTTCTCCCTTATAATAGAGGATTCCTTGTCCTCAAGACTAATTTTTCCTCAAGAGAGGACTGTATGTTCTCCCCAAATCGGAGATCCCTTAGATCTCTGAAGGTAAGGGTTAGCTTCCTGCCATCACCGTGGATCTGGGAAGCTTTCCCACATTTCCTTTTCCCTTCAAGAAATCTGTTTGTTGTTCTCTTTTCCAGATGAATATGCTATATAGTCAGCTTGTGGAGGCACTGAATAGCAACAAGGGCCCAGTGTTTCATGAACATGGCTACTGGAGCAAGACAGATTAGGCAAGCTCATGGCCACATGAAGTATATTGTTCTCAGATGCTGACTGTTTAAATTTTTGCCAGAGTTTCTCTTGAACTTTTGTTTCTGTTTTCTCAGACCCTGTTTTCATGTTGTTGAATAAACTTTAAGTGAAGCATACTGAATTTACCTTGGTGACCAGATCATTTCTGGGGCACAAATGAATTTTCCAAAGTGCTAAGGATGATAGTGAAATAGACCATGTGAGAGCAAGATGGTTTATACTCCATGTGAACAAAAGAGAATGTTCATCTCAGCCCAACACAGGATCCATTTTATTCCCAAAGTGCTCAAATTCCCAATCCCTGAAAATAGCAAAGAATCCTAGACTCTTCTTTGGAAGGATCTTAGTGGTCACCAGGGCCAGCATTTATCTGATTCATGAAATCTCTCTCTAACATCCTTGAGAATCTGTTGCCCAGTTTCTAATAGAACTTATCCCAGGCCAGTCATGGTGGCTCATGCCTGTAATCCTAGCAATTTGGGAGGCCAAGGTGGGCAGATCACTTGAGGCCAGGGGTTCAAGAGCAGCCTGGCCAACATAGCAAAACCCCATCTCTACTAAAAATACAAAAAAAAAAAAAAAAAAAAAAGCTAGGCCTGGCAGTGCGTGCCTGTAGTTGCAGTGAGCTGAGATCTAGCCACTATACTCCAGCCTAGGGGACAGAGCAAGACTCCATCTCAAAAACAAACAAACAAAAAAAAAAAACAAGAACTTATCCCATAATGGGGAACTCCTGAGATAGCTCAACCCACCTATTTTTGCTCTCTAATTGGTAAAAAGTCCTTCCTCATACTAAACAAAAGTCTGTCTCCCCATAACAAATCTGCTTCCTGTGTCACAGATGCTCCTTGGAGATATCCCTGAAGATAGAAGCCAGGCCCATCTCTGTCCTCCAGGCTTTTTCTCCTTCAGGGTAAACATCCTCAGACCCCTTAGTTATTCCTCATGTGATCTGGTCTCCTCACCTTCCAAAAGCCAAGTACCGTGTTCCAGTGAGGTCTGACCCATACAGTTGAGCAGTCTCTTTCTGGCTAGACTGGCATTAATGTACAATAAGATGACACCGCCTTTTTCTGCCAGTTGATTTGTATTAACATTTTTAAATTTTTGATTTTGACCTAGTTTCAGACTTAAGAAAAGTTGTAAGCAAATACAAAGAATTGACATACACCCTTTATCCAGCTTCCCTGTTTATTTTTCTGTCACATTGCCTTCCTGTCACTCTCTCAGTTTGTTTCTGAACTGGTTAAGATTAAATTGCAGTTATCCTGCCCCATTTCCCCTTAATGCCTCAGTGAGTATTTCATAAAAACAGGGATACTCTCCTACATAACCACAGTACAACCATCAAAATTAGGAAATTAACCATGATTCAATTCTACCATCTAATCCACAGACCCCATTCAAATTTCACTGATTATCCTAGTAAAGTCCTTCCTAAGTTCAGGATCATAGGCTGTATTTAGTTGTCATGTCTCTGCCATCTGCAAACTGAAATGCTTCCTCTATCTTTCCTTATCTTTTATGACCTTGACATTTTTGAAGGGTACAGGCTAATGATTTTGTACCATGCACATCAGTTTAGGTGGATCAGATGTTTTCTAATGATTACGTTCAGTGTATGTATTTTGGAGAGGCATACCACAAAAAATGATGTGTTCTCAGCCGTCATACCAGCAAGCACACAATGTCAATTTGCCCTGTTACTAAAGTTAAGAAGGTATCTGCCAGGTCTCTCCAATGTAAAGTTAATTGATAAATATTTTGTACTTAGTGGTTAATAATCATGAAGTACCCGGTGGAAGATAGTTTGAGACTAAGTAAATATGTTCCTCATTACACTTTCACCACTAGTTTTAGCATCCATTAGTGATTCTTGCCTGAACACTTGTCCTGTGATGGTTGCTAAGTGTTGATTTTTCTGCTCCCATCACTTCCTCATTTATTAGTTGGCATTAGTAAAGTAGAGGTTTTTCTTCTCCCCCATTTATTTATTCTTATTTTTAAAATACATTTTAGTACAGACTAATGGATTTCTATTTTATTCAATGGGTTATAAGCCACTATTATCGTTATTTATTTTGCTGCCCAAAGCTGGGTCCTACCCCCATTTGACATGTCCCCAACATTCTTGCAGCACTTCCTTATTTTGTGACACAGTAAGATGTTTCAGGGCTCATCTTGTACTTTCCCTGTGCCAGACCCGTAATTAGTCATTTGTCCAAGGAGCCCTGTTGCCTTAGAACAGAGAGATAGTGTCCATGATCTGGGTCCTAGAGGTGTACTCATTGTTACGTGGGTGACATTATTTCTAGGTCCTCTCAGTGGACAGAACTGGAAAATAAATGCATATATGTGTACATACACATAGATGAATGTATGCATTTACATGCACACACACACACATATATAAAATCATGAGTTAATACTGATAGCTCCATTTTCAATCCAACATCAGTGGGCTTATTCTAGCTTTCTCCCCTTTCCCTATTTGTAACTCCTTCAACATTGAGAAGGCTGGCTGATTAACCGCCAATATTCACTTATTGGCTCATTCTCTCTGTATGATCCCAATCTCCCAGTCGTGGGCTGTCTCCCCAGCCCTAACCCCACTAACGTGACCAAGATGCTGGCACTTTGGCCCAAGCTGCAGTGAACACTCTGGCCAACTTCTCAAGGGAGCCTCTAGCCTAGAGAGCAAGCAAGCTGAGTCCCTAGCTGAACCCGCAACCAGGCCCTGAGCCTGACCCCAGCCCTGCGAAGGATAAGGGAAAGGGACCACATGGCATTGCAGCAGGCCCTTTATGTTGACTCACCGGGCTTACTGTTTGCTCTTCCTTGCCTTCACCTTAGCTTGCTTCTACTTACCTTTGAGAAGCCAGCTCATGTGTCAGTTCCTCAGAAAAACTTTCCCTAAGTCAGGTTCTCTTATTCTATGCTTTCAGCATCATTTTATTTTTCACAGCTTAAAAGAAATACATTTGTTTATGGAATAATTTGACTAATGTCTTATTTCCCCCAATAGTCTTTAAGCTCCATGAGAGAAGATGGTGTGTTTTCCTTACCATTGTATAGTTCCGGGGTCTGGCACTGTGCCTGGCACTTTTCTTTACGTTTCTTTTCTTTTTTTTTTTGAGATAGGTTACTGCTCTGTTGCCCAGGCTAGAGCACAGTGGCGCAATCTCAGCTGACCGCAGCCTCTGCCTCCTGGGCTCAAACAAAATCCTCCCATCTCAGCCTTCCAAGTAACTGGGATTACAGATGCATGCCACCACAATCAACTAATTTTTGTGTTTTTTGTAGAGACAAGGTTTCACCATGTTGCCCAGGCTGGTCTTGAACTCCTGAGCTCAAATGATCTGCCCACCTCTGCCTCCCAGAGTGCTAGGATTACAGGCATAAGCCACCACGTCCAGCCTACCTGGTACTTCCAATAAATATTTGTTGAACAAATGAATGGAAACTTCTAAGTCTTTTTTTCTACACATACGACCATTAATTAATGTCTCTGCTTGTACTTCCGGGTTTTTGTGTTTGTTTTCGAGACAGGGTCTTGCTCTGTCACCCAGGCCACAGTGCAGTGGCACAATCATAGATCACTGCAGCTTCAAACTCCCAGACTCAAGAGATCTCCTGCCTTAGCCTCCAGTGTAGCTGGGACCACAGGCATGCACCACCATGCCTAGCTAATTTTTAATTTTTAGTAGAGACAAAGTCTCACTATGTTGTCTAGACTGGTCTCAAACTCCAGAGCTCAAGTGATCTTCCTGCTTCAGCTTCCCAAAATGCTGGGATTGCAGGCATAAGCCACTGTATCTGGCCTACTTCCAGTTTTTAAAACATCTAATTGACTGTATCACTATTAAATTGCTCTTGCCAGCAAATCTTTTTGGATGCAGAGTCTGTCTTTAAGTATGTTAGTCATCCCTCTCAGGCTAACATCATCTGCACATTTGATAAGTAAGCCAGCTAATGCTTTAACCAAGTATATGATAAAACAGTGAACAGGAGAGGGCTGAGACAGAGCTTTGTGACGTGCTTTGTAGTCTTACTTCTGGGTTATTTCATTCATGCAACAAATATTTCCTGAACACTTCCTGCTAATGGCCTGGACACTTTGTGGTACAAGGGATAAAGTGGTGAACAAAATAGAAGACCAAGTCTCTCCTTCAAAGAGCTTACATTCTAGTGGGGGCAATAGATAATAAACTAGTATTAATTGGTCAGAATTAGGTAATAATAACTTAAACATTGATCCATTAATTAGCAGACTTTGGGATGAGCATTTGCCTGCTCAGTAATTGTACTATCTACATTGTTTCCAGCCTTTTCACAAGAATATCATGAGTGATTTTTGTCAATGCCTTGCTGGAACCCAGCTACACTTTACCCATTTTCAAAGCTTTGCCCATTTATGTTGATTTACTAAGCTCATTTCAGAAAAGAAAACGAGCTTAGTCTGTCTTAAGCAATTCTTAGGTAAAGGGTTTTATAAACTCTTTGTGATCACTAGCTCCCCTCGAAAGACTCTCATGCAAACCATCCCTTCCAATAATGTGTTCCAGAAACTTGCTTGGGATTAAAATGAAACCTTCTTGTCTAAAGCTTGTGAAATCTATCTTCTTTCCTTAAAAAAAAAAAAAAAAAAAAAAAAAAAAGCCGGGGGCTGCGGCTCACGCCTGTAATCCAACACTTTGGGAGGCCAAGGCGGGCAAATAACAAGGTCAGGAGTTCAAGACCAGCCTGGCCCCCGTCTCTACTAAAAATACAAAAATTAGCGGGGTGTGGTGGTGCATGCCTGTAGTCCTGGGTACTCAGGAGGCTGAGGCAGGAGAATCGCTTGAACCCGGAAGGCAGAGGTTGCAGTGAGCCGAGACCGCACCATTGCACTCCAGCCTGGGCAGCAGAGCAAGACTCTGTCTCAAAAATAAATAAATAAATAAATAAAAGGGGGGCATATCCTTCTTTAGGCTTTGGTGCATCTCATTACCCATGATTCCCCAAAGGTTACAAACACCAGTTTAGCGATCGCACTATAGTTTCTCTCAACATCCTGACATACAATTTGTCTGGGTCAAGAAACTCATTTAAAGCACCTTGGTGCTTTCTTACCATGATCCTCAGTT